ATCAAAAAAATAAAATAATAATAATAATAATGTTTAAAAATAAATAAAGGATTTTTATTAGAAATAATAAGAATTCTTTAAAAAAATAATAATAAATAAATAAATAGAATTATTAATGTCAATTTTATTTTAATTTTATTTTAATTATTTAAATTTAGTAATTATAACTAATATTAAGTTGGGCTTTAAGATGGGCATTAGGTTAGAGTTAACCCTAATTTGATACCTATATAAACATAAGTTATATTTGAGAAAAGAAAGAAGGAGAAAGAAAAGAAAAAACGGCGGCCGTTCTCACGATTTATCAGAAGAGGGGTTTTTTTTTGGAAGAACCCTAAAAGGTTTGAATTCATCATCGGCCAAGCGCTACCGGCGAGCAAAAAGTCCCAACGGCGGAGGCTCAGTTCGTTCAACATCATCGTCGTTACCGTAAGCTTTCTCTTTCCTTTGATTTACGGCATTTTATGATTTTTGTGTTGTTTTGTTCATTGATTGTAGATTAATGGGAAGAATAAATAGAAGATAACATGCAAGGATTGAAGGAGAGGAAAAGCTTCGATAGTCATCCATGGAGAAAACGGCAGAAGCCTTTTTATTTACGTTTCATTTTTTTATTTTATTATTCAATTGTTTATTTTTTCATTTATATTAACTATGTAGTTTGTAATTAATAATGCAATTAAGTTTAGGTAAGCTATTTCAACAAAACAAAAAAACATAACGTAATCGGTTTTTTTAAAAATTAATATCTTTCTAAAAAGTTTTTTTCAAAAATTAAACCATTTTTTATTTAAAAACATATTTCTAAATAAAACAGTTTTTCTTAATTAAAGCTTTTTTCCAATTAAAACCATTTTTCATTAAGTTAACACAAAAATTAAAAAATGACCTTTCTTTCACTAAAACAAAAATTAAAACCTTTTTCGTTGAATTTAAATCAAATTTTTTCATTAAAATTTAAAACATTTTTTTAATTAAAATTTAAAACATTTATTTTCGATAAAATTAAAACATTTTTTTCAAGACATTTTTTTATTAAAATTAAAACCAGTTTCTTTATTAAATTTTTTAGTAAATAATTAGAATAGTTTCTCCATTTAAGCATGAAATTAATTCTCCTCTCCTCTTCTCAATAAAAACTCAAAAAGAAATAAGTTTTGATTTAGCCGTTTCATTTTTGTCTAACCCTCGTTAATTTGTTTGTTTCAACTCGTTATTATTTCATTTGTTCGTTTTTGTTCCATGGATGTAATTTACGCGAGGCCATGGTCGCAGTTATTTTATTTTGCATTTTTTGGGAATTTGTAATTTACGCGAGTGATCGTCGCGATGCTTTCTTTTACCGCTTTCTTTATTTTTCCGCACTTTAATTCTGCCGAATAGTAATTTGCCGTATTTTGCATGTTTTTACCGTTAGAATCCCTCCGAAGGAATTAGGTCTAGCCGTTTGACCGCCGAGTCAATAACCTTAATTTTTGACCGTTTCAAAAACCCTAATAGCCTAGGTGTCCCGCCGTGGACGAAAATGCCCTTTACCCTAGCGTTAGGTCAAAGAGTCGCCGTACTCTGTTTTTAGGGTTTCCCGCCGTGGAATCCCTAATTTCAACCCTAAATTTTCAATTAACAAATTCAACATAGAAATAGGAGTTTCAAAGACTCCACGTAAGCGTGTCCTTAAGATACGTTTATTCCCCATTGAAACCTTGACCATAGTCAAGACGTTTCTAACCTCCCTTTCGAGGGGAACTATGATTACTCTGATTCCATTCCCTATCCAGGATACGTAGGCACAAGATGCGAATCTTGCCGAGTAAACTTAGGACTAACCCTTAGGTCTTTAGGTCACTCTATCCCTTAGCTCAATATATATTAAAGTAGATAATAAATAAAAATAAAAAAGCATACAATAAACAAAAGGTTCCTGTAGAGTACTACAGAAGTTTAGGGTGCTAGTACCTTCCCTAAGCTTAACCAACCCCTTACCTAGGTCTCTCTCCCGCATTGTGTTTATGATGCAAAAATAGGTTTTCCCTCTTTTGACCTTTTCCTTCGGATAAATCAAAGAGCGGTTGTGAATTAAGAATTGTGATTCAAACTAATTAATAGTTTGATATCCTATTTCCACCGCAACACTACTGCAACAATACATAATTCATTTGTGATATTTTAGGGAACAACTATTCCAACATATTGATATTTTTATTCCTTTCTAAGAACTCAAATTGAAGAAATATCGGCATGTCAAGGTAATTGGGAACTTTGAGGCATGGAGTTATTTACTTACTTTCCATGAGCAGTTTCTCCAAAAAGCATGATTCTATCGAAACCTTCTCGAACAACAATTGCAACATCAAACTATATATAATTAAAATAGATAATTCAAATGACTAAGGAATTTATAGAGTTTGGCAAGCTATCTTCCTCTAGTACTCTAATGATGAAGCTAGTTGTATTTGTCCATTGTTTTTTGAGCTTCTTCCACGAGATAATTCATAGGTTTTGTTGTAGTTCCTCCATTCCCGCTAGATGGTCCATGATCTTTATGGAATGCTAGGTATGCAAAGTATGCAAGTCCTATCATAGCCTAAAATATAGCAATGAAGTTTATAGCTTAGTACAACTATAATCATTGGGAAACATTCAATAATCTGAAATTTTAATTTGATTAGTAAAATGGATGACTTACCGATATGAAGAAAACTGTGGAGAGGATAGACTTGAATACAAAAAGCAAAGCACTCAAAGCCACAAAAGCTACTGAAATCCTTGCCATCAGTCTCGGTACAGAACTCTGGCATTGCCAAAATGAAGAAAAGGAAATAAGTACATGAAAAAGTAGAAGGTATTATAGTATTTGTAACAAATTTGAAGACATCAGCTAGATAGATCAAATGATTATACAAAAATGGAAAAGACAGTTTTGTCAACGGGTTGCTGAAAATAGCGGGATGCTCGAGTTATGCTAAACTAATATCATACCGCTATTCGACAAACTTGGAACTCCCTTAACAACAGTAGGATGAGGAACTCCCTTAAAAGCGGTAGGATGAGGAACTCCCTTAACATCATTAGGACAAACTTGGTTATTCAATTTCAATATGTGATCAGGTTAATCAAAACATTAGTTTTACAATACTATAGGCTAATCAAAGCAGGTCATAGTTTTAGCAGCATATACAATACTATTTATTCAATATGCTAGAAACAATACAAAAATAATGATAAACATATAGAACAGTATAGCTGAAAGTCTTAGTAACCAGCCTCACCCGGTCTTAGACCTTTAGGATGTGGATCAACAACAACAGTAGGAATCCTCCCACCTCTGACCCGGGTAAATTCATTTGTTTCTTGTACCAGTAATACATGATGTAGAAAATAAGACCAAAATTGCAATGTGTTTCTTTACCTCAGTTATTTAACCCATGATTTAGATCTCTCTTCGAAGTCGCGGTGTCTAATGACAGTTCCAAAGCCACGACCAATTATCAATTCGTCAAAATTCAACCCAATTTGTTGACTTTGTATGAGCAGCAGCTGAAAAGGCTTGGTCATTGTCAGCTTTCCTTGAGGATAACAGGAATACTGATCCAAAATCCATTAGTCACACCTCAGCAGCTCTCAATGGAGCTCTAGCTGCATCAATATGACCAACATCCATAGAATATTCCATTTGTACATTCACCTGAAAAATAGAGTTAATCAATTATAGTTTAAATCAACAATGATATGAAAAGAAGGTCCACAAGAAATCTGCCATATGAAATAAAATCATCAACAACAATGACGCAATCTCCACTCACAACCTCAACCACCTGTACTATAATAAGATGTAGCAAAAAAATATAATTACAAAAAATGAATCATAAAATAATTATGACTCGAATGATTTAGTTCTTTAGTTTACAGCTAATGCAAAGAGAAATAATTATTGGCAGCATACCACTCCTTGAACATCTAAGATTCTGGTGCTTGAACCATGTGCCTCTTGGCAGCAATAGTGCATCTAAGAAACTTTATTAAAAAAGATTTCTAAAACTATTGCATGTGGTACCCATGATTTAAGACATTAGTTGTTTCAGAAACCGGTCAAGAACATATGAGGTCATACTTGAAGGCTTCTAAGGCAAAAGACGACGATTCCAAGTGCTCTATGAGTTGAGTAGGTAATACTGGCCGAGCCACTGCCTAGTTTTAGAGCAGTACCCCGTCCAACAACACTGACTATGTAAGCAGCTGTTTGACAGGTAACATGAAGAGGGTCTGCAGATTTGAACACCTTCAAATAACTTACAATCATAGCTCCTAAGGGCATCAAGACTCCCCATCTCACTGCATTTAGTATTCCATGAGTCTGAAACAAATGACAAAATAAGTTACATTTGATATTAAGGCAGAGCTACAATCCATAACATAGCAATAAGAAATCAAGATTTCATCCATTTACAATGTGCATTAGGGAACAAAACCCTTCCTTTACCCAATAACAATAATAATTCAGACCACATCCTGACAAATGGTTAAGATCACCAACTGCATCACAAAAAACCAGATAATATCATAAACCTTATTGAACAAAGCTGTATGAAATGAAATTTCTTAAAGCTTGGGGTTGTGAGCTTGAGCGTACGGAAGCAAAACCAACATTCATCTGGGTTTTCCAATCTCTATTAGCATGTGACATATTCCTCATAGCATGCAGAAATGTAATAAAAGTATCATCACAAACTTACCTTGCATTTTGGTTTGTTTAGCATGTAGGTTCCACCATACACAACACTTAAATGCACAAATGCCTTCAAGTAATCAAAGGTATTGAATTTAATTTCGTAAGTACATTAAACATAAAAGGGAAAATAGATATGAAAAACCTGAAAATGTGACATAATCATATCATTTAACTCACATATTAAATGCAACACCAGTTTAGACGAAAGAAACTAATGCATAGATAACAACACAAATCCTCAGTAGTGACACAGACGAGAAAAGGTACCTGATCAAAGTGTCATCTCAGCCTGCAAAACTGCCAATTCATCTTCCTCAGGAGTTGGCTTTGCAGGAACAGGTCGTGTAGGTTGCCGCCCAGCTGGGATGTACGATGTGGCAGGCAAAGCTGTAGTTGCTGGCTGAAGAAGTTGTTCTTCCAACTCAGCACTCTCCAATTCTTTAAGTTCTGCTTCCAGTTCATCCTGAAAAGGACAATAAATTCAGAACACCTCATTGTTAGAATTACAACCCCGGTTCAAAAGCAAACACACACGGAAAAAACGCAAACAAAGAGCACACGAGATTTGATCACGGAGTTCAACCAATTGTGCCTACTGTAGTGCGGCTGGAGTATCTTTCTATTATTCAAGTCTAGGGTCCATACATTACAATTGTGCTTAAATAATACGGTCCACTATACAAGATTACCCCCGAACTGTGAGTGACCTGCCCTATTATGATTAAACTACGAGCCATCCCAATAGTCATGGACACGCATTAGCACTGTAAAACACTATAAACAATCAAAAGGTACAAATATCATGTTTGCAACCGACATAACAAATAAGTAAATATTTGAGAGAATTACCTCATTAAAATCAGTTGCTGCACCAATTGGAGTTGACAATGCTTCTTGAATCTGCTTCATGTTCTCAGTCTGTTCATTTATCTCATCCATGGTTTTGTCGACATCGTCAATATTTCTGAAAAAAGAAACAGGAGCAAACTTAGGTCATGTTTGGATGAACAGCATAATTAAGCACTTATAGCATATGTGTTTATCATATAAGTGCTTTGCTTAGGTATAAGCTATAAGCTATTCATAATTGCGTATGCTATATTGAAGAACTTATGGATGTAGATGAAAAACAGCTATAAGCATGTCATAAGGTGTTTTCACAACTTCTAAACAGTCTCACAAATGTTTATGCTAGTAGATAAGTTCAAATAAACAAATTAAAACAGGACCATAGTAATGTCATAAATCATAACCAATGGCTCATTAAAGATTTAGATTCATATAATAGCAGTAAGTACGTTGCTTTCTGCATAGCCTTCATAGCAGCGGCTCATGTTCGTAACGCATCCACTGTTTCCGTGGTGGCTTTAGCACCTTTTAACATTATCATCTATAACATAAATCACCTTTTAAAGATGCAAAAGAAGATTAATAATATGAACCATTGTCTGAACTAATACGAAATACGATTGCATTTGCACCTGGTCATGAATACGCAACTGGAAATTTCCAAGCTGCTCAATTTGCTGTTCATATAGCCTCTTCCTCTTCAAACATTGAATTGCCGCTGTATAAAATGCGCGCGTAATAAAAATTAAGGAAAGTAGGATTAAAGAAAACATTGAAGAACAAGTACAAAAATTCAGTTTAAGAACCTACCCTTTTTGTTCTTTCCTTTAGTGAATTCTTTGGCTTTTTCAACTTCTGCCCCGGCGTTTTTAAGAAGCACATTTTCCTTTTTCTCTAGCATTTCAAGTGTCTGTATAATTTCAAAGGACAACAAATTCAAATTGTTAAATCCACTCTCTCAATCTTAAACTGTAACTTAACGCTCAAAACGAATGGATAACAATAACCATTGCACACATCTATTGTCACATGATAGATGCTCTATAAAACTGATTTAAGATTCACTGTAAATGCTGGAAAAATAACATTGTTTTTGAAATAACATAGTTGAAAGCAAATAATAGAACAAAGAACATTAAAATTAACTTGGAAACATTATTTTTTACAGCAAATAATAGAACAAAGGACATTAAAATACCATCCAAAAACATGATTTTGTAAGGAAAAGCTTTCATATATGAACATGGGACATAAAACCACGTATTTAAAATAAACAATCTTTGCAAAATTAATTTCAACAGAACCCATGGAAGTATGATAAACATGAAGTGAAAAGCATTTTTTTAGTTGAAAACCAACACATAGGACATTTGAACTAACCTTTGTAGGGAATGAGTTCTCAAAAAATGAGTTAGTGAGAGTGAAACCACAACCAAGAAACCGCAGCTTGGGAGGGAAAATGAAAACCAACAGAGCTGTGTGAGAGAAACCAAACCTTGAAGCATATGTAAAATGATGAAATATGAAGCTAAATTTAAAGAGTAAAGAACCTAACGAACGTTACCGATGCGAGGGCGACGATGGACTACATATCTTTCTCAAACCTTCACCAAATACCAAAACCATCAAAAACCCTAAAAACCACACTGAAATTAAAAAATTTCCAAACTTTCACAATAAAACACAAATATAAACTAAAACCAAATCTCATAACGCACAATCAAATAAAAACCTCCATCCAAATCAAAACAAAAATGAAAAAAAAATCGTTATTTACCCAAACCAAATCAAACCCCTTTATTCAAAGGATAAACAATACAGAAATCAATCAAATCAAAACAACAACCTATAAATAGATCTTCATCTTCTTCTTTGTTTGAAATAAACACCACAACCCACAAGCATATATCCTTCTTCTTCGCATAATCTGATTTTTAGAAGAAACATTGAGAATAAGAAGGGTGTACGAGAGATAGAGAGAGGATACAAGAAAGAGAGAGAATTCTGAGAGAGGAGAAAGAGGGTACGAGAAGGGAGAGAAGGTGAGAGAAAGAGGGAAGAAGAGGGTACGAGAAGAGAGAGAAGCTGAGAGTAAGAGAGAAGACAAGAGTGAGAGGGAAATGGTAAGAGTTTTTTGTAAAACTTCTGCCACTTGGCAAAATGGGTTCTTCTGATTGGATGATGAATTATTATTTAGTAAATTACATAAAAGAGTTTTAAGTAGTGTGAATAAAAATTTAGTGAAAGAGTATAAATGGTAGATTGGTGGCAATGAATAGTAATGGGTAGGTAGTTGACTTCTGCCACTTGGCAAAATGGGTTCTTCTGATTGGGTGATGAATTATTATTTAGTAAATTACATAAAAGGGTTTTAAATAGTGTGAATGAAAATTTAGTGAAAGGGTATAAATGGTAGGTTGGTGACAATGAATAGTAATGGGTAGGTAGTTGATAGAAATTATATTAATCATAAAGGAAAAATATTTTAAAAATGGGAAGTTACGTGTGACCCAAGGTAAAAGAAAATAAAGAAAAAACCAAAAAACCAAAAAAAAAAAAAGAATCGAAAAGAAAATTTAAAAAAAATACTTGACATTTGTTTGAAAGTTTGAAAGAGAAGGGATGAGAGAATCAAGAAAAAAAGGGAAGAATATATAGATTTTTTTAAAATAGGCAAAAGATATATTAAAATTAACAATAGAGTATAAGGGATATTCGAAATCCAAACAACAAACTCAGTCAATTATATCAATACAAGACAACGGAGATGAACTCTATACAAAATAGTATTAAAAATTATTAAATCTAATCTCAAAACAACTTTATTCCCACAAAACAAATTTGATTTTTTTCCAGCAATCCTTAACCTTCAGAATTCTATCTTTGAAAATCACTCCATTATGTTTCTTCCAGATAATCCAAATTGCTGCCAATCAAATAACGTATATCACTCTCCGAACCTTCTTCTTCTTAATTAAATTTTCTTTGAAAGGAAGTAAAGGCAAATCCTCCAACAACAACTTGCAGCCAACCCCCAACTAAGAATATATATTTAGGAGAATTAAATTTTTTTTATTGGATAAAAGTTTTGAAGGACTTACATTATTTCTTCAAATAAATATTTATGATGTTATAATATTTTAAAAGTAATTAATAATATAATAACGATGAACGTTCATATTTCATTCTATACGCGATAGAATTTTAAAAAGTAATATTTTTTTAAAATCCCTTCTCACTAAGCTTTCTCCCCCAAAACAAAACCTTAAGAGAATCGACAGAAGGAGAGGCCAAAACAGCTCCTAAAAACATCCTCTTTAAAGTAATGTAAAGTGTGTTACTAATTAAAACCCGGTAAGGTGTGAATATATAATATATTACATATAGGTTTAAGATTTATCGGATTCTAAGAACATGTTTGCGAGTTAAGGGAGGAGCTAGGAAAACTTTCAAAAAAAAGAATTTGAATTTTTATTTGAAAAATATTTAAATTATTGTAAAAGAATGATTTGTTGGAACTAGATTAATAATAATTAATAAAAAAATATATGCTCAAGAAATTATAATATATAATTTAAGCACGGAAATCAAGCATGTAAAAATTAATAGATCGATAAATTGATTTTAGAATACTTGTATCAATCGAGAAAAATCATTTTTGAAAGTAATCCTAAAACCTAGAAGTGGATGGTTTTTGTGTTTTTCCTCAACCGGTACTCCTTATGCCTCAAATTCTTTTTAGATGAGGAGAAGAGATTATTTTCTTGTGTACGATGTATTGGGGATCATAGCTTATATATAGTGTGATGACCAATTAGGATTTCCATTATTTCCAAATGGACCACCGTGATATTCACTCATATTTGAGTCCATATCCAACTATTTATTTAATTGATTAATTAAATAATTCCTAAATAAAATCTAAATATCCTTTTAACATTATTTGATCACATAATTATTTAAGGCACTTTATTTGATAAAATAGCTAATATAATTAAATAAATATATTTGGCCACATAATTATTGGAATACTAATATAATATCAAATTATTTAAAATATTTCAACAATCTCCCACTTGACCAATATATCTTAATAATTATATCGCAATTCTTTAGGCGCGCATCCAAATGCTATTTATCTTTAGATTTCAACTTTACAATCTGGTCCACCTCATACATCAATAATGAGACCATCACGGTTGTCGTCACTAACGTATAACGTGACAAAACCTCGACGACCACCACATCAACGTACTTGATGACATAAATCGATATGGATGAGTGACATGAAAATTTCATGCAATGTGATATCTAAATCATGTATATTTCCAACTGGTCCTACTGGAGTATTTAATGAGATCAAATTGAAGTTCCTTAGGTGCAATTAAAAATTACTGTTGGAAAAGAATTACAAGTGTGAGTAGTGTGGAAAATAGTCCCACATTGGATAGGAATATGGTGACTTGAGTATTGATAAGTGAGAGAACCCATTCACCTATCACCTTAAGGTTTTAGGTGAATATATGGTGTGTCTCTCACAAAGGTGTGTTGCTCTAAGAAGGATGTCTCACCATTTAGAATGCTCCTCACTTGACCTTCTCGATTGTTGCACCAACAAACTGGTGCGGTGAGCATGGAGAAGATGCCGCCAACAAAGTTTGAAATTGAGAAGTTCATCAGAGTTAATGACCTTGATTTATGGAGTTTGAATATGCGAGCCATTTTTGTTCAACGGGGTTTTATAGAAGTGTTAAAGGGAGAAGATGCCATGGATGCTGGATTGACGGAGAAGGAAAAGACAATGATGATCGAGAAAGCCCACAGTGCAACTGTTCTGAGTCTTGGTGATAAGGTTCTCAGACAGGTTTCAAAGGAGACAACGACAACTGGTGTTTGGCTGAAACTTGAAGGATTGTATATAATAAAATCCTTGGTGAATCGTGTGTACTTGAAACAAGATTTGTACTCATTCAAGATGAATGAAGATAAAGCATTGATAGAGCAGTTGGGTACGCTTAGCAAGCTGATTCTTGATCTTAAAAATATTGACGTTACGATCA